TCGTTCACCGATCCGGGACCCGATCGTCGTTTGGGTCACGTTTTAGGTGGTCACGATTTATTCTGCCCGTGACAATAAACGATTAAATATTTTGAAATCGATTCTAAGAATATAATCGGTTTATAAATGGCTAAATTTCTATAAATATTCTCTATTTCCAGCGGCGATGCTCATTTCACCGACAGTCATTTCGCCGACAATAGATTCACAGACATGTTCATTTCACCAACAATTATTTTACCAACATGTTTAATTCACCGACATGTTTTAGTTCACCGGCATGTTTAATTCACTGACAAAATCCCTGTAAGAAAAGTGGTCCGGGTTGTGACACGGGTTAGTTTCGGGAATGCTCGAAATGAAACAGATCGTGTGGCACGCACAGGCACGCGGAATGGCACGGTAAAAAATGGAACGAGCATTACGGCAAGGGTGGCATGTTATATCACGTCATACGGAACGGCACGTTCGGATTGCACGCATGTGTACGTTGCACACGTGTTGGCTCGTTTCGCGGAGAGCGAAAGATCAATAAATGATTTTTTTTAAAAAAGCGCAATATCTCAGTTCTCTGATAAAGCTGCTTTAAGTATATTAAAAAAAATTCCTTACAAAATTTTACTTCATATGCAGTTAATTTGTTCATATTATATCGATTACTAATGTAAATTTTATGTTTTAATCATTAATCCACATGGTTGTATTTGTTATCGTGGTGATACGTGAATTTACGTACCATTACCCGTGCTATATCCCGTGCCTATTCGACTAGTAAACTGCTACAAAACCCGAGCCATTTATGGTCCAATTGGCACGGGCAAACAGTCCCACACAGTCCACCGAATCAGTACCAACTCGGACCATACCCGTACCTATCAGAAACCAACCCGTGTCAATCTGGTACAGGGTCGGGAGCCCTAATTTCCTCAAGTTGTGATTGTACGCATGAATACCGTCTTTAATTGGATAAACTAGATCACGCATCATAGCACAGCTGCAAAATAAAAAAAATTAAAATATTTTTATTAAACAGAAAGTATTCTATTTATGCACTTCTGAATTCTTTTCTGCAAGTAAAAAAAGAAATCGAATAATCTAAGCCATTAACAAAAATAAATTTTTATAAGTACTATATTTTCAAGAGAATAAAATTTTGCTGAGACCTGCGTTTACAAGCTTGTAATTTTAAATATACCCAACTATGTTTCAAAATTCCTGAACTATATTCTGTGCCGCGATTTTTACTTTTGCTTAAAAAATAAATGATATGAACATTTGAATTTTTTCAGGTTCAATAGATTTGTTTTAATACTAATATATAATAATGTAACTCAAGTTCTCAAAACCCATTTTCCTAAAAGGACATAATTAGTCAGGATTATGCTCTTTCAAAAAAAAAAAAATTAATATTATGTTTTCGGTTTTTCATATAGCAGTATGACTCAGTGTAGGTATGTTTATTTCAATTAAAAATTTTACTCGATAAAGTAAATTTTTGGAATAATATGGCAAAAATTTATTTAATTGTTCAACGCAAAATTATTTATTTAAAAAAAAATTTTTAAACATTATGTAATCATACGTGAGAAATAATTTATCCTTAATTGCGGCGCATTAGATAAATTTTTAACCACTCTGATCAGTGATGTAATTGGTTTCATCCAATGGGAAGTTTGAGGAGAAAATTGCAAACCCTTGTATTGATTATTACCGTATCCTATCGTAAATAAGCACCCCATATAACAAAAATTATCGATCATGAATAAGCACCCGTGACTTAATTGTATTACCGCCGAGTCTACGGACAGTTCTTACGGACAGTGCATGCTGAATAACATTAACTAAATCCACCTACCCTAACCCTAATTCTGCCACTGTACTGTCCCTAAGAACTGTCCGTAGCTTCTGCAATTTATTACCATAGTTTGATAGTATCGTGAATAAGCACCCGCTACTATGTTCAATGTGGGTGCTTATTCACGATAGGATACGGTAATTCGATTACAAATATCTGGTATATGACGATCAAATTACAACATTAATTACGCAAACGAAATGTCACAATAATTACAAATTTAAAATACAGATGTATGAAATAAAAATTCACAGTGACTAACCAAAATGGGTATAAGTTTATCTTTAATTAGCTTTATCGTTATATGCAAAAATTACAAATTTCGCATATGCTACTACAGTACAAATAATTACATCCAACCAATCAGATCTCATAAAGGTTACCAAGCAACATTTTGTAATATATTAGGAAACCTATGCAAATGAACAAATAAACTTTCGAAAGATATTGTGGTGAAGTTATATTTATTATTCCGGTATGTATATATAGAGTACGTATAAAAAAAGAAACATTTTCTATGAAAAGAAAAATGGTGAAAGTTATCATACACCTGCATGCAATCATCGTAATATTAATATTATTACAATCTTCTTCAACCAAACTAAAGCAATTCATGTACGAAGATCCTCAGGCTGGTCTAGTTCTTCTTGATGGGGACAAATCACTTGATGGAACAGTAATCTTACGTTTCGGAACTCCAGTAAAGCAAATTGGAGATACAACGTGCTGGGACAAGACAATTTATCTTCGAATAATTCACCCAAACGCTTCAATTAACTTATCGATTTCAAATCACGGAATCCCAGATTTTAATTTTTGTTTGGATAACGAAACCGAATTTAATTATACTACAATATGGGTATTCGACCAAAGACTTATGCTTACTTTTTATAATTCTTCGAATATAGCAACTTCAGAAATCATGGGACTTTTTATTACTTTTGAGGGAGAAGTTTTAAGGTATTGCATTTAAATGCTTTAATTACATTAATAAATATTGAGAATAATGTTTTTAAATAATTGAATTACATAATACAACACAGTAAAATTGCATGATAACCTTATAGACGACGGAGGAATAAGAAGTTATTGGGTTGTTATCCCGAATTCAAGTTCAAGAGATGGATTTTTGTTTTACTGTAATGGTGCGACAGTAATAAGCTGGGTACATTTTGATGCACCGTATGTATTGAACAATTATTTAACATTAATAAATATAATAATTAGAATTAAAACTAAGGTGGTAGTAAGCACAATAATTTGGTTACCGTATTTTCGCGTAATAACGTTATTTCGAAAACCTTACCCCTAAAAATAGTTTCAAAATAACGCGTCCCAAAATAATGCTTCGGAACTGGATTTAGTACTAAGTAAACCTTCAAACTTCAGCAAAAGTCGTTTTTCAGAACAAATTTTGATAAAGCTCGAAGGAAGGTTTACTTGGTACTAAATCTAGTATTTTTGTTTGTTTATTTTTATACAAAAATTATTTAATTGTCTCAAAATAACGCTCATGCGCGTACTCGAAATAACGCGCATATACTCAAAATAATGCGCAGGTGAGCGTTATTACTCGAAAATACGATAATATTGACTCACTGATAATTAGTCTGTTGATATCTATTTACCGACATGTCATTCTATCAGTAAAATAGTTACGTAGTTATCGGATTTAACGTGAGGTACCGGTTTAATCTAACGTATGAAAAATTAGGTTAGTTCCAAACTCTAATCAGTGAATGCATAATACTACCACATCTAATATTATAACATATAATTACCCTGACATTAATATGAAATAAGTCCTCAACATACGTAACAATAATACAAGTTATATTTTATCATAGAAACGAAAATGGAGAAATAATCGAGCGAGCTAGAAGTGGAATAATCCAAACAAACATTAAAGTTGTAACTATTTCAGCTTTTTACATGCTGGAGAAAGGATTTGCCATAGCTTACGGTCCCGGTGTTGGGTTTTGATGCTATGATAGGGTTATCGAATTTATTATCTTTATTGAACAGAAATTATAAAAATTGTGATTAAACTTTAATATCAGAATATATATTTACTAAATATTATTTTTATAGTACCTCGGCCTGTAAATTTAAATATATCATAATATGTCACGCTCCAAATTGAACTATTTTGATTTTCCACAACCACTGCTGAATTATTTACAAGAATAACATAAGTACTTTTAAACATGGCATTATTTAAAGGTTGTGGTGATGATTAGTTGTCATATAGATCCCCATTTTCATCGAGAACATAACCAAAAACAAGATTGTCTTTAAGTGCCGTCATTATATAACCACCGAATTTAAGGGGTATGAGAATATATCAATAATTAGTGCCATTTTTCATATCACCTATTTTTGTTACTGATCTAGAATTCAAAAGGTGATTGATAATTTACATTTTTTTTTAATGCGTAACTATCGATATTTTAATTACCCAGAAGAAAGAAAAGATATCTTCGAGAAGATAAGTTGAATAGGTTGTGAAGTTGTATTATTGTTATTATCAGCCATAGTAAGTTGTGAATTCAATAATAACAAACATATATTTCCGGCTCCGATAAAATCAACATTACATATAAATCATTTTTAAAAGATTTCTCATTAGGAAATTTTTATTCTGCAGGGGCCTCATACTTTCTAATTGATATTTTTTTAAAATTAATATTGGATAAAGAATTTCATTGAAAGTTTAACCCATTTGGTCATCGTAAATTTTGCAAGACAAAGGATTATAAGTTTAGTTCTAATTGGTAGAGAATTAGGTGTTATTTACGTAGTAACCAAGAAAATTAGTTTGTCAAATGTCACGATATTCAATTAAAACGCTATAAAATTACATTGCAATCTGTTTCCTTTAACTCAATCACACTATATAGCATTTTTGTGATCTTATTTTCTTTCTTAAAATCGTTCTGCACTCTTAATCAATTCAATTTGAATAGAGCACAACATTACATCATTCTAAATTTTATTTTTATTAATCTTTCCACGTAAGCAGATAAATTGAACTTATTCTAATCCAACAATTTCTCCTGGAAAAATTTATTATGGAGCTGCGTGCACAACGATATTCTACTCATTATCATCTATTTAACAGCCTCTATTGTCCTTGATGCAGATGAACCTGGTAAGAAATTAAATTTCGCATGTTCTGGCAATTTATAGTGACCTTGAAGGATATTCTAATTTTTATAAGCATCTAGAAATTCCTGTCCTTTTACTTGTAATTTAAATGATTCAAATGATAATTGACCAATCATTGTTCATTTCACGGCCCAAATGACTTAAGAGGGTCATTTAACTCTAGTTAATTGGTTACTTAATACTTTTTTTTTTTTTTACATATAAAAAAATTTTTTCTACATTAATATTTTATGGCCGCCACGATATGGTGTATCCTCTTTATGCCTTGACAGCTTCACGAACTTGTTCTGGCATTGGGATGGATCGGATAATGCGGGTCTTCACTTTTATTTTCATCTAGGACACCTGGATCTATACATGAGTGTCTAAATTACTCCTCCTAATAAAAATTTTTTGATATTTGTCTGTCGAAATTAAGCTTTCTTAGTGGCGAAATTAGTTTTCATAGTTGTCGAAATTTTTAGCAAAATCATTTGAATTCTTAATGCCAAAATACATTAAATAGTATAGTTACTTTGTAGAAATTCTTATCCCTTAAACCATTTCTCGTATAAATTTGTACTAAAATTTTTTTAAAGTTCTATTTTTATTAATATTTTGTAATTCTGCGATTAGAATTTGATGATTTTGGTATCATTCAATTCGTCTTGATGAGATAATTCGAATGGTACTAAAATCTCGTAGGACGACATTCATATGATTGGCTAATTTTTGCGTGAATTCCCGTGATAATTAGCCAATCAAAATACATAGTTTTTAAAAAGATTTATCATTTAATATACTAGAAAACGAAAAGA